CCCAGCCACAGCTCAGCCACGTTTGGGATTGCATTCTCGCCGCAAAAGCGCCACCTACTTTGGCGTTAAATAGCGGCGAGTTGCAGAACTCCAGTCAGAAGCTCTGAGGAAGGTGTCTGATAGACATCGAAACGTAAGCAGGTGAGAAACTCCATGGTTGTGTAAGAAGAAAATTCTATACCCTATGCTCATCTCTAGCAATGCAAGGGGATACATGAAAAAGTTAGGTTGAAATCCCATCTTGTTGTACTCTAGTCCAATTCTGAAGGTCCTCTACCCCACTTATTACCATTACTAGCAACAGTCATAGTATTATAAACAGAATCACAACAATACACATTGTGGTGTTAATCATTTTATTTCAAACATGGCAAACGACAATTTTTGCAACAGTGATATCACAGCAAAAACATATCAGAACATTCTGAACAATACACTAAACTGAATAGTTAGTATGTCAAGAAATATACTGTGACTATGAAACTATGTTTCACATGTAACATTACTGACATAATTCTAAATCTATACTTGTAATTGATTCAACATTTACATACAGGATCTACAGAAATGACAATTGAGATGTTTTACTTGCCCTGGTGACAAGAACTTACAATGTAGCTGAAGAACAAGAACTAACATATTAAATACATGTATTTTAAGGCATTATCATATAGACGGGTGACGTTGACCAATCAGAAGGCTCCATTCCACATTCTTTATGTCGCCGTAATGTCACAAATAGAGTCAAAATCGGGTATTTATTCATCCCAATCCATACATTAAACAAAATGAATAATCACCCGCATATGACCTCAGGTGACCCAATAGAACACGGCTCTAGTTCTAAAAAACCCAAAAATAACTTGAGTTGTGTTCCGATGACCTCGGGTGACTCCCATAAGAACACCTGTTCCCTGCCTGTGACCCAGATAGAAGGCCATAGAACGTGAACCCCCCCAGTGACCTCAGGTGACTCCAGATGGAACAAATATTCTATGTTCTATTCAGCATGTGCAAGGGGTAAATTGTACATTGTGTCACTCTTCACTGCATCAGTTTGGATAGGCTATCGTGTAAGCTATATGATAATAGCGTTAATATCCCGCCCTTTCTCAGTGAATATGGTGTGATAAAGCCTTGTCAGTTGCTATAACCACCTCATAAAGCCACCTCGTTCGCTGCGCTCACTTGGTGGCTTTATTCGGTGGTTATAGGAACTGACAAGGCTTTATCACACCATATTCACCTCGGGGCGGGACATTAACCCTTAATTATCATATAGACGGGTGACGTTGACCAATCAGAAGGCTCCATTCCACATTCCTTATGTCGCCGTATTGTCACAAATAGAGTCAAAATCGGGTATTTATTTATCCAAATCCATACATTAAACAACCCAATAATCACCCGCATATGACCTCAGGTGACCCAATAGAACACGGCTCTAGTTCTAAAAAATCCAAAAATAACTTGAGTTGTGCTCCAATGACCTCGGGTAACTCCCATAAGAACACCTGTTCCCTGCCTGTGACCCAGTTAACGTGAACTCTACCCAGTGACCTCAGGTGACTCCAAATGGAACTATGTTCTATTCAGCATGTGCAACGGGTAAATTGTACATTGTGTCACTCTTAACTGCATCAGTTTGGATAGGCTGCGCTCACTTGGTGGCTTCATTCGGTGGTTATGGCAACTGACAAGGCTTTATCACACCATATTCACCTCGGGGCGGGTCATTAACCCTTAATTGATAAGGTTCTCTGCAACATAAAGTGGCTAAAAACTATCTAATATTCTACACCTGTAAACAGCAAGCACATTAGGCCGCAGCAAGTAAATTTTATGGAAAACATCCTCCACAGACTCTAAATCTAATGCAAGAGGGTAAAAAAAAACAAGGAGGGCTCACACAAACAAGATTCCTACATTTTCCAATTTTGACATCATGAACCTTGTAAACAAGAAATGATACCTATACTGCCAACTACTACAACATCCATTTCTCACTGAATAGAAAAGTTTTTAATCATTGTACAAACGGTTTTGATTCATTTTGGAACATCACTTATAAAAGGAATGAAATAATCACTGCATCAAGGTAGAAGACAAAACATTAAATCAGATCCTTGTCTTGTCTCCTCTCTTCATAGTTATCTGCCATCCATGTTACGGCATGGCAACACACATATTTGCCCACTTTCAGCATGTTGACCACTGTCAGAAGAAAAAATTTCTTTTTTTTCCCCAAATCAGGCAAAAATTAATGCGGGCACTGATGTCATCCATAAAAATTACTTGCTGTGGCCTGATGACAAATGAAATGCTTTACTTGCCCTGGTGACAAAAACTTCCAATGTAACTTGATAAGTATAGAAATAACATACTACATACCTATAACAGTAAGGCATCAATTAGGTTCTCAGCAACATAAAGTGGCTAAAATAACTACCTATATTCTACACCTATAAACATCATATACATCACTGGAGACGAATAACACTACAATCTATCTGTGATAGCTGGCTTTCCGCTCGTTGAGTCACATATTTGTAATTCACATAGTATAAAGATATGTGTGCACTTCTTTGTGTTGATTCTATTTATGTTTATACAAAGAAAAATATTATTTTTGCTCTGTTTCTTCTTCTCTAAACCAATAACGTCAATGGCCTGAACCAGACCATCTCTCACCATGGTAACTAGCGTTGGGTCACATCATGTTGCAATTTTATAGCTGGAGGGATTTAGACTCCTGTCTGACCATATGTGTGAATGTGTTTGTGTAAGAGTAACAGAGCAGCCCATATTTGAAGGTAAACACTATGCACTATGCTTTTAAAATGTTACCTTACTAGTTTAAAGATTATTTTATATACTAGTAAGGCCATGTTGATTTGATTATATGGATGACATCCGCGCGCGCATGAATTTTCGGCCGTTTCCAACAAAAAAAAAAGTTTCCAACCACACTGTAAATTGTACAAAACAGTTGCAAAATGAGCAAATCTATACCGAAAGTTGCAAAAAAAAATATTTGAAAACGATTCCAACGTCGTAGAATGCCAAAATCAAACAAAAACTAAAATGCAAAGAAATGAATTTAAAGAGTAGATTATTCGCCATACCATACTCTGTGTCATTTGTTCGACCTCCATAACAACGTAGATTTCATGAAAGCAACTTTTTTTTTGCAAAACTTTTTTTTTTCATTCGCGCGCTTGCATCAGTTTTGGGGTTCCCAGAGGATGTCATCCATATAATCAAATCAACATGGCCTAATAGGTCCTACCCAGCACAAGTGAACCTCAAGCATAGCAAAATTTGTAACAATTTTGCTGAGTGCATTGTATATAGTCAGTGAAGTCTATATTACACACACTATCTAGGAAAAGTTTGAGTAGTGGTCAAAACTGTCCAGGTACTCCACAATTGCCTGGTAACAGAACTGGTACTGGTCCTGAAAAATGTAACATGGAAAATGATTTAATAAATAAGATTATACTTACTAATAGTAATTAAATACATTGATTCATCGTAAAGATGCTGAAGTTTCTTATTAATGCAACATAATACAATAAAATAAATAGTTCATTGCACATGACTATGTTAACTTTTCATAGAATGGTTGTATGGGCCATCCACTGCAGTTTTTAGGGCTTGGAAACCTGATTTTTCAAAGCCAATATTCTAACAATTTATCTACAGAACCGTGTTACTGAGTTAAATCCACACTACCCCAATGTATATTGACCGTCATGGAGAAAACATTCTGATGGAAAATGGTAAATGGAAGGGCCATTGGCCCATTTTTAAGGGTACCACCCAGAAACTAAAGAACTTATCTTGGGGCTTGTTTCTGCAATTTTAAAAGCCAGAAGTATGAGATACTGACTCAAATGTGCTAAAGTGAAGCAGTATGTGTCAACATCACAAAAATTGCCTTATTCAGAATATTTCCAGTTTTGCTGTCCTGAAATCGCATTGAATGCCTTTAAGAATGCAGTGTGTTATCACTTACAATGGTCTGCACCATGTGGGGTCGCTGCTGTCTCAAAGCCTTGACAGTCTGAAAGACGTCACAGGTTCCCTCTGTTTTCACCTGCTCCAGAACTGTGCTGATGGCGCAGAACGTCCCCGTGCGGCCTGCGCCAGAACTGCAGAATAAAATTCAAAAGAACAGATGGATGTTATTGAGTATTGAGTTGAAAGTAGCAACATATCTGTACAAAATTTATGATATTAGACAAAAATACCGTAGGCCACGACAATTTAATTTGTTAGTTCTCGGATTCGCCTCTTCATTGTTTCTGATTTGAAAAAAAAAAGATTCTGGTTCTGAATCAGCTTATATTTTGCTCCCAAACCCCGAGGAAAGTCCTTTTCTTCCTACTTGTTACAGTTTTTCCATCTATCAATGCAGTCATTTGATTAAACGTTCAAAAGTCATTGTTTAAATATTAACCCAGCCTTTTGTGTTGACTTCATGGCTCTTATCGTAACATTTGGGGCTATAAAAGGATGTCTACACCTGTTTTGATTATAATTTTTTTTTTAAATCGGGGTTCACCTGCAGTGTACGGTGATTGGTCCGTTGCCAGACAGTTGCTGTTGCTTTTGAACCTGACCAATCAGGTCGATGATTCCGGCAGCGTTGTCAGGAGCGCCGTACTGCGGCCATGCGTGGAAGTGAAACTGGTGAATAGTGCGACTCTTTTCACCCTGCAAGGGAATATCGATCATAGTTAACAATCTATGTGTGGCATTTGCTCACTCCTTAAAGTGCTGGAGGCATTGCGTTGGATATTTTTTGCACCATGGTAAATAAACCTATTCTTCCGTCAAGGTTAACATTAATATGCATATATTATGTTAATATTAGCATATATTATGTTAATATTTGCATAATCACTGACAACATGTCGACTTGATATATTGCCAAAAGATAGGAATTTCACAAGCAAAATAGGCAGAAAACCATAAATTCAACTGGATTATGGTAATTATGATTTTATTTTTGAATGAGGCAAATCCCCCCAAAACAATTTACATGGAGGTATGAAATATATGTCAGGGCAAAACTCGAAATATTCTGAATGCGGCAATCTTTGTGTATTGACACATACTGCTTCACATTAGCACATTTGAGTCAGCATTTCGTACTTTGGGCATTTAAAGCTGCAGAAACAAGCCTCAAGATGAGTTCTTTATTTTCTGGGGAGCAGCCTAAAAATCAATCCAGGGCCCTTCCGGTAACCATTTTCCATCAGAGGTTTTGAATTTTTGCTCCATGAGGGTCAATATACATTGGGATAGTGTGGTTGCAACTCAGTATGCAGATAAGTGACTAGAATATACTCTCCAAGCAGAGGTTTGGGTTTTGGGGGTATTTTTTAGCGTGTTTTTAGGCTTTTTTATCGGGGTTTCTCTTTTGCACTGAATTTTTGTTTTGGGTTTAGGTGGGAAAAAATTCAGTGCAAAAGAGAAACCCCGATAAAAAAGCCTAAAAACACGCTAAAAATACCCCCCAAACCCAAACCTCTGCTTGGAGAGTAACTAGAATATTGGCTTTGAAAAATCGAGTTTACAAGCCCTAAAAACTGCATCGGATGCCTTTAATTTTTACCTTTCCATCCTCCAATGAGAATGTACGGCGCGTGAAGTCCCCAAACTCGCCCGTGTCGTCCAGCCTGACCGTGAGGTCCCCGTATGTCTTGGACCCCTCCGTTGGCCAGTACCGTGCACATGTACTCTGTAAAGACAATGGCAGTGACAATGGCATGTTAGGGATCATGTTTCTCGTTCTTAATGCCATGAACAAAACTTGAGTTTACGCCTACAGGTTATGAAGATTCCAATGCATTTATTCTACAAGAATACGCCTAAAAACTCCGTATAATTTATCATAATATAAGCGGGTTCAAGGTTCCAAATGGGCAAAAATGTAAAAGTTACAATTGAACATAAACAAAGCACATCCAGACATGATAACAAACAAGGACTTAAGGTAAGAAGTGTCTGCAAGTCAGGGGCCTTCACCTTTGACCTATTGCATGCACAGTTTGTTTGTTTGTTTGTTTGTTTGTTTGTTTGTTTGGTTGGTTGGTTGGTTGGTTGGTTGGTTGGTTGGTTAGGATTTCACACTACTCTTCCTGGAGTCCGTAGTGAATAATCAGATACGTATTTGGACCATCGCACACCGGAGAATGCCCCTAATCTTTTCCGAAAGGTGCGGTGGGTTCTGCGTTGGGTGTGGTTCTCCCCAAACACAGGATCGGACCTCCAGTTAAGGGACGTCCCTAACCAAGGGACGTCCCTAACCAAGGCTAGGTACTCATTATCACCTGAGTGAAGTGAGGAAAGTCGTGTAAAGTGCCTTTCCCGAGGGAACAAGATCGGTGACAAGGTAGGATTCGAACCCGTAACCTTTTGGTTCAAGGCCGAACACGCTACCGCTATGCCACAAGACCACACATTTTGAACGAGGATAATGTGTGCGCTTACCCGTTGTTTCTCCTGTAATTCCGTCAGCATGACGATAGAGCAGGAGTTCCACTCCCACACCATCCTCCAGAAGTCCTCCACAGTCCGGTCCAGCGGGCCCTGCGTGGCGATGTACGCGTCCTTCTCACGGTAACCCTGCAAAGATGTGGTACATGTAATTAGTTGTTGATGATAATAATATTCTGATACAATATGATACAATGTTCCCCTTCTTCATACATCTAAGCTGTACAGATAATTTTGTATTTCTAATGAGCTTAGAAAAACCTTCTATATTGAAACATGCCTGTTCTTACCTTCTTACCATTACTACAACAAGAAGAAACCGAATTTATTAAATTTACTTAATTGTAGTTACTTGAAGATGTAAATATGTAAAGTTATCTGTATACCAACCTTTTACTGTGACCTGTACTTAACCCAGTGGGTATGTGTGTACAATAAAGGTCTTTTATTTACTTAAAAAAATAATAATGCTCAAGGGTATTATAATAATTACTATATTTTATTCGATTTAATTTAAACGTTGAGACAACGTTTACGTTTTGTGATACATCTATACTTAAACGGTTATACTTAGATTAAAGATACATTCCTTATAGTTGAAACATCGCAGGTAAAGAGATCTAATCATTTATCCCATTTCTTTAGTACTGAAAAGTATTTGACTATCCCATGTAAAAGGAATTAGCACGTTTTAAAAACAATAATTTTCAGTACTAAATAAATGGTATGAATAAACAAATCTTATTAAAGGGCTAAAATAATTCAAGTATAACACACATCTCGAAATTTTTAGAACAGAGTGTATTTTCAAACATCACGAAACTCCAGGAATCAACATTTCTATGATGCCATACAAGACATTTGTGTTTTATTATGTTTACCGAAGGAAAACATATTATTTTTACTACGCTTCTTCTTCTGTTCCAAACACTAACCTCTGACCTGACCAATGACATGATTTGTTGACGTCTGTCACCATGGTGACTGGTGTTGGGTAACATAATGTTGCAATTTCATGGTCTCCTCTACTCCTGTCACCATATACTTGTAGTACATATGTATGTGAATGTGGTTGAGTAAACATTAACAGGGCAGACCATGTCTGAAGGTAAACATTATGTATTTGCTTTGCAAATGTTACTTCTAGGGTTTAGTGCGTGTTCGTGAACTTACGTCGATAAAGGACGCGTTGATATAGTCTGATCCTGTCACTCCTGTCTTGTGCAGCAAGAAAACTCGAGATGTGTCGTCTGGGACCGATGACAACAAAGAAAGTTCACATGTATGTAATAATGGAATGATTAACATCTATTTACGTCTTATAGATGGCAAAACTAGGTATTGTCTACAAACACAACTAAATGATTGATTGATTGATTGATTGATCGGTATGTTAAACATGACTAGTATACTATACAAACTAATCAAACTGTAGGTTGCCCAGCATTATTACTATCTGTAAGGTCATGTTGATTTGATTATATGGATGACATCCTCTGTGCAACCCCAAAACTGATGCGAGCGTTCGAATAAAAAAAAGTTTGACAAAAAAGTTGCTTTCAACATGAAATCTACGTGGTCATGAAGGTTGAACAAATGACACAGAGTATGGTATGACGAATAATCTACTCTTCAAATTCATTTCTTTCCATTTTCGCCTTTTCGTTTGATTTTGGAATTCTATGACATTGTTATCCTTTTCCGATATTTGTTTTTTTTTCAACTTGCAGTATATATTTTCTTAATTTGCAACTGTTTTGTTCGATTTACAATATGGTTGGAACCTTTTTTTAAACGGCCGAAAATTCATGCGCGCGCGGATGTCATTGATATAATCAAATCAACATGGCCAATTGAAGTAGAAAGACGAAATAATCTTCACTACTCACATGGTAGGACCTGGAGCAACCTGTTCTTGGAGATGTTTTCAGGCAGGTTGCCGTTGCGCATGTTAGCCTTGTCGATCGGAATACTGGTGAGCTTCTGTTTGAACAAGTAATCGGAGTTAATAATTTTTTTAAAATTTTTTTCATGTTTTTTTTATCTATAAACAAAAAAAAAACAGACATAAATAAATAAAGCCTCCCAGTGATTGGTATCAAAAGCTCAAGCCTTAAATAAAGCCCCCGACTTGCCCCGATGTTTCTGCAGTTTCCCCCTCCGAGACGCAATGGCATGTTCCAACTTGTGATATAAGAATACTAACTTTGTAAATAAATAAAATAGAAAAAAAATTTAAAATAAAAAAATAATAATTTGGGGTTGGTGTGAATTTTATGGAACTGCCTAGGAGATTGCATGCCGCGTTTGATCGGGGCTAGGGCAGAAACTGTGTAGGGTTGGAGGGTTACTCGTGCTATCTCTGGCTTCCTAAAGTGTCCAACCCATGTCAACTTCGAAATGTGACATTTTTCACCATTTCCCGTGTCTGACCTTTCGAACTCCTGCAATCTAACTTCCTACATCCACGTATTGGCAACCTACCCTGTCTGGGCAAACATACATACACACCCGCAGCTTAGCCACCCAAAGCAATACTCCCATATCCCAAAAGTTATAAAGGGTTACACATACGCCTGTACGATACACAACTATGCACAAGCACGGTTATAGATGAAGCACGGTTTTTGATTCAGATCTATTGAATATCGTCTGGCATGTCACAGTGAAGTGCATAAAATACTAGTATGTTGAGTAGTAGTAGTAGTAGTAGTAAGCCTTTATTTAATCTCGAATGCTTGTTCGGTACATACCGCTTTTCAACAAGGTCGAGGGTGAGGGCGGGGTCACGGAATTACAGATCAAACCAAAATATAATACAAAATCAAAACAAAATGCAAATCAAAATATAATACAAAAATAAATAGCAAATCATCAGTCCGTTATCAGTCCAAGTTCCTTGTCATACTTCTAAATGTTCCCAATGACTGGGCTGCTCGTACATGTGGTGGCAAGGAATTCCACACAGTCGCCCCCGAGTACCTCAGTGACCGCCTGTACACTTCCAGTTGGGGCCAGTTGAGTATTTATACATGTGCCCATTGTTATGGATAAAAATAGCACAAATCATACATATATCTGCATACATATATTAGCGGTAAAATACAGCACAAAAACTTACTACAACAATTAAGACATCAGTTAAACATTCCAAAATCATGATGAATAACATCATAAAACCACTAAGATAATACAAAGATCAGGTTTTAGACAAGTACTTCAGCTCACGAGGTACAAAAGACTGTTCGTGTCTTTTCGTTTTACTAGATGTTGAGATACAATTACCATGGGTGCCAGACTCGTTTCGGGCCGTTTGCCTTTTTCCATCTGCAGCCTCAAGCCCTTCGCCCGCTACGGGGAAGTTGAGCCGGGTTCGAGCTCGACTCCTCCGTAGCGGTAATTTAGACAGTCGGGCGAAGGGCTTCTGGCTGCAGAAGGAAAACGGCAAACGGCCCGAAACGAGTCTGGCACCCAGGGTGAGATACAACATACCTCAAACTCCATCTCGAGACCAGTCTTATGAGAGTCTTCATCCTCGCTCTTGAGGTTCTGAAGATGCCGGTGGATGCTGGCTACCTCCACCTCCGTGTCCCCGTACAGATACTGCTCCAGGAGGGCGCGGTAGATGAAAATGTACTGGGCCTGGGGAAGATAATCAGGGAAGAACATCAATTTAAAAATCACGAAAGGTTACGCATGCACCAATGTGCATGCCAAACATTTCAAAAATGATATACAGTTTCTTGAGAAACTGTTTTTGGTAATGAGCAAACACTTTGAAGCATAATTATCTTCGCCATGTCTCAAATATCCTGCAATTCTATAGCTAACTCCTGCAACTCTATCTTCCCACACCCACGTGTTGCCAACATACCCAGCCTGGACAAACATAAACACAAACGCGTAGCTTAGCCACCCAAATGCTGATAAAAAATGCTAAACTTTTATCTTTAATGCGAAACAATCAAAACTTGTAGACCAGATATAGAGTGTGAGATTTGGAAGGGCTCACATCCAGATGGATCCCTTATCGATAAGTGTGTTCGATTCAAACACGAGGGGAGGTACATTGTAGCCTGACTAAATCATACTGCTAGCTGGCGGCCGCCCGTCCATAAGGTTGACGCCACCTTGGGGGGGGGGATTAACTCCCGGCCGAGAGCTTGTGTAAATATATTGATATACGCAATACACTATACACTAGACTATCAGATTCCTTTCCAGCATTTACCACGATGAACTTGAAAAGAAAATTTAAATACATATTGACTTGTGACAACCCCTACATGCTATACATAGGGATATATATTTAAGACTGTATGGATATTAGAAACTCCTGCTAAGATTGTGTAAGTTGATATCTCATACTAGCCACCCACTTCTGTATTAGTTACGTTAGCCTTATGAAAATGTACTTGATATGTACTCACTTAAGTTAGTAGATGCCATACTTTGTACCATGTGCAACTGTTGCGCAATAGAGTTATCATATGTAAACACAGTCTATAGCTAGAGAGGAGGCTGTTCTAACAAACACAGTTTTAATCACCTCGGCCTGCACCATCTGACTCCGGCTCTGTCGAGTCTTCGACACAAACCCGAACACATCCACCTTCCCCTCCTCCGCCATCATTTCCAACATGGTGTCCATAGTGATGAACGTTCCCGTACGGCCAACACCAGCACTGAGGGAAGAAACAATGGTTTGGTTCATTAAGAACATAATAAGCCACATTACACAATATTTAGTTCATAAAATTAATAAGGAATAGGTGAATAAGTGTTTGCAGTCATTGGTTGGTTCCAACGTTAGTGTTGCCCACCATGTTGTATGATTCAAGGAGCTTTAATATTAACAATATGATGTGTGGCATGACGGCACAAGATACCCATAAACCTTATATAGTATTTTGTGCTTTACTACTATGTATACTTATGTATGTATGTATAATTTCTATGTATATGTAATTGTATGTTGATGTATTATTATGTTTTATGTACTCTCTCCTGGAAGAATAGCCGCCACCCTTGGGTGGGCAGCTAACGGAGAGTTTTTCCTCAATAAACCTCAATAAACTAGAGAATAAGGGATAGGGTCGTTTCACTCACGTACTGACTAAGACGTACATGTAGGTTATGTCCACCATATTGTAAACTTCAATCTTGAAGTCACCAGGTAAATCTGACTTTCCATTTGTAGTACTAGTTTTGGTCTTCATTTATAGGTCAGACCCATTCAAATTCAACAAACTAATATGGTGGATGTGTTGGTAAGTGCAAGCTTGCCATTGGTTCAAGTACCTGCAGTGGACAACGATGGGGCGTTCACGTGACGTGATGGAGGTCATGACCTTCTGGTGGAACTTGAGCAGCTCGGCGGGGTTCCTCGGGGCTCCAAAGTCGGGCCACCCCAAAAACTGGAACTGTGTGATCTTCCGTTTCTTTTCCTCTCCCTGGCCAACAAAGAATTTTGAGTTTTGACAAATAGGTGAAAAATAGTTTTAAGAAGAGAACAGTGACGTTTTTTAAGTTAAAACTTTTGTTCCAACACAAGGAATTGTTATCACGTAGATTCTTCCACCAGTCTCTCTAGTCTTTTTCAATAGACGAGAGTGACTGATTTTTAATTTGTTATCATGTTGATCATGTAATATAGATATAGATTTGTAATTATCATGTTGATCATGTAATATAGATCATGCCTAAAATGCGCAATTCAGCCTCTTTGTATACAGATGAAACTGCCATGTATTTCAATATGTAAATGAACGAAGTCAATAAACAATTAACATAAAGATTGTGTTGTAAAAGGTTTTAACTTCGAACATGTAACTTCTATCAAAATGTTTATGATAGTACAGGAGAATAGTAAATATCTTTATAAACGACGTTTTGAAGTAAACAGAACAGAAAGAACATTTTTGTTATACATTCTGGTGGCTGGTAGTGTATGCTTACCTTTGACACTAGAAAGACCCTGGAGACGTAGTAGACCATCGGGATAGTCTCCGCCAAAGTCACGCTGATCTGGCCGTACACTTCATCCCCGGAGTCAGGCCAGTACTTGGTACATTTAATCTGTTAAAAGAAGAAGGAACTATGGTAACTCTGTTACATTGGATATTCCGTCTCGGACAACTCTTTTTTACACCACATGAATGAGTAAAATTTGTATATAAATGGGCTCAAATAAATGCGATTTATTTTAGCATTGTCTACGTCTATGTATCAATAAAGCAAAAGCGATGCCTCGTCTATTCATCAATAAAGCAAAAATGAAGGTGCTTTATTGATGAAATATATAATTCGTGCAGAGCTTTCTTCCATACTTTTTTTTTTATTAAAACCAGTTCCATGAAACTTATATTAACATCGCTATCTACACAAAATGATTAAACAGACATATACTGATTACATGGACGAATAAACAAATATACAAAATCGAAACAAGCTAATTGAGGTTTAGTAAATGAAATTCAACGAGCGCAAGTCCCAACCCCTATCCCTTAGAATTACTGATAGGACATGAGTAGAATAATTGAAGTCGAAAAGATCAATCAGATACAAAACGACCAATTTTGATGATGAAATTCTAAGTAAAGCTCATAATTTTTACAATTAGTCTCAAAACTGCAAAATGATTATCCGTAAAGTAAAATCCATACCTTGCCCTTTTCTTCCAAGTTTGTAACCATAACGATGACGGTAGATCCGGTCTCCCACATCATCCGCCAAAAGTCGTGAACAGTGTTTGGTTTGGGACCTGCACAGCACAGCATTGCAATTTGTTTATCACTTAGTTCGAATTCCATAGATTATAGTCTCATATCAGACACTTCTAGCAGTCCCCTCCCCTTTAAATTTGTTTGGGAGGTTTGACTCAGGCCAGGTCACTTATGTATCCGCACTTTTTCAACGTTTTGTAAAATACTTTTTTTTTTCTCAGTGAGAAGCGGTTGTGGGAATATAAAGTGAACCCAACTAGAGTTCGCAGTCACGTAGTCCGTGTCTTTTCATTTGTTTTTGTCACTGTGTTTCTGAATAATTAAAAAAATTGTTAGGTCCCTAGCAGCTTGAAAGCCAAAACGCTCAAGTCAAGACAATTGGGCCGAGAAGCATTAGTGTCGACTGTGTTGAAGGCCATTCAAACAGTCATTAAAAAGAGAAATCCACTCACCCTGAGCTGCAATGAACTTCCTCTCCTCTTTGTAGCCCTGTAAATGGGATAGGAATTATTTCACTACATGTAAAGAAAACAATGGAAACATATCAAAAGACCCAGTTCAACATAAGCAGTTACTGTTTGATTACTTTCTTCGTAGGCCTTCGTACGATTTTGATGTTGTGGATTTTGAAGCATGCTGTGACAGAACAAAACACCAATCTAAGGTAGTCTTTTTCATAACAAGATACTAGGAGCATCTATATTTTTTGCGACCCACTCATGACTATACCAATGAATTTTCTCTTGATCGTGCGTCTTTTGTAAGACACTTGTGACCAGATCCTTATCTGTGATTCAAAAAGATACTTACATCAATGTAAGACGCGTGGATGTAGTCCGAGTCGGGATCTCCCTCAACAGGAGTGAGCACCACTCTGTTATTGTCATCTGCAAAATAAAGTTAAACAAACATTTGAAGGCGCTTGGCTAAAGAACAAGGTCTACCGTAAGGCGAAATTGATGAGAAATGCAAGTAAAAGTACTTGCTTTCAAAGCACAACCAGTTAAGACAAAGAATTTAACAGAACCCAATAAGGCCACATTGTCTGAAGTTGTGTCTACACGAATGTTTTTTATTATGTATATTCTCTGCATATATATAATCATAGAGTTCCATAATATTTCACTGGAAGCTTTAGAGCAATCAACCATTTATACTTTGTTTTATTATTAAACTTTTCTATCTTTCTTGATTAAAGTTTTAAAAAATAGATAACAAAAGCGTAGCTCACAGGCGATCACGTTCTTGAATCTGTTCTTCTCTCCGTTTGCTTTCTTTAAATACGCTTTAGCGTGCGCCATCCCGAGATTGTCTGGAAGTGCCTGGGATAAAAGAAAGGTATACATTTCTGTTGGAAGTTCTGAGTACCTAAGTATGCACCTGACATACTACAGCCTATAGTCAACACTTTCGAAATACCTCTCTTTTTTCTGCATATTGTAAATGGATTGTGAAGATTGCAGATAAAAAAATTCATACAATTTGCAATTGTGGAGAGTGACAAAAATCAGCCAGAATCGGTTTTTAATGGTTCTCACAAGGAGACAGCACGCAATTCACTGCTGTTCACATATTTTTGCTGTCTATATCTAAGTAACTGTGAAATAACAGAATGATAGCTATAATAAAGAAATAACATCACAGTCATGCTATGGGTAATTATAATCAAATATCTAAATGTAATTATATCATTATTGCTTTTAGAGTATTGTGGTATAGTGTATTTGCAGAAAGTATTTCCAAATTGCAAAAAAAATTGGACTCACAATGTACTATTACAGAGCACTGACAAAAGGTATTTCTACCACTGTAGCCAAGGCACATTGAAAGCATATAGAAATTTGAGTCTTTAATTAGGTGAAGTTTTCCTGCAAGCGTATAGTTACATACTTTCCATGGAGCAAAGACAGCTCTCAACTTTAACATCTTTCAAAGACTCTCTGCGAGTGGGACTTGAGTGGCAAATGTTTTTACAATTGTAATGTATGTTGAGTTGAAGCTGTAATGTATATTCTTATTGTGTGTTTTCCCATCTATATTGTGTATTTTACCCCGGAGATACCTGAAAACCAGGTCAGTAGACCAGAGCGTATTACTCTGGTAAAATGAATGAATGAACTACACACCAAAAATAATGAAAATATGTTGTTCCTGTCTGGACTTATTGGCTTTTAAACATTTCGCCAGAAAGTGCCCTGCAGTTCCAGAACAAGCCGCTAGGGGGCCCAAACTCGTATGACTTCTTCCCAAGCACGAGAGCTACCTTCCATCAAAATTTCACCCTAGCATGTCCAGATCGCGAGATATCAAAACCGGAAGTTGCGCTGCAGTACCAAGGGAAGCCACTAGGAGGACCAAAATCTCATCATTTCCAGTTTTCGTCACACCCTACCAACACACCAAGTATGAAACCAATCCATCCAGGCGTTCTTGAGTTATCTTGTTGACCAACAGACAGACGGACAGATAAACGCAACTGAAAATATATCCTCCATGACACATTTCATGGAGGTAATGAATGAATGAATGAACATGTATGCAATGTACCTTATATTCCTCAGTGAACAGTTGGTCGTCGTTTGCGTGTCTCCTGTTAAACTCGTGCTCCAGGCACTCGACAGGAACAGGTTGTTTGTAGTCTCGAACAGACGCTGAGGCCGCTGTAGCTTTGGCAGCAGCCGCTCCATGCCTTTTGGGTTCTAGGGGAAAATCATATCCTTTTGTATATTGTACCTACCAAAACATATTGGATGTCTACACCTTAAAGAAGAAACTACTGGAAGGATAATTAAATGCGCATGATGCTGTATACGCTTGCGATGCGACCTATTTTAATGAAATTAGGGACGCCAACATTGCGGCCAGCACCTGCTTGCACCATTGATATCACTCAGTCAGTCAGTCAGTCACTCACTCACTCACTCACTCACTCACTCACTCACTCACTCACTCACTCACTCACCCACTCACTCACCCACCAACCCACTCACTCACCCACTCACTCACTCACTCACTCACTCACTCGTTCACTCACTCTCAATCACTCACTCGTTCACTCTCACTCACTCACTCACTCACTCACTCACTCACCCACCCACCCACTCACTCACATACTCACACACTCACCAACTCACTCAATCACCTTTTGTACGAAGTGCGTTGACCTCTCTAATTCTAGATGTTCGATGTTTTTACCTGGTTTTCTTGGCGCGACGGGAGGTTTTGCATGATCCGGGTCCTCATCTGGGGCCAGGTTTTCCAGCTGAGCCAGGTTGTCAATTCCACGTACACCAGAAGACGATGATGATCCACCCATAGAATCTCTCTTCCTTAGTAAGGGGCACTTTCTCCTTTTTAAAGGCATTTGAACATGTAGTTATATCGTTGAATGGCATATGCACAGAATTCATGAAATGTGTTAGAATCACACTAATGCTTTGTAAATATTTACTAATGATCCAATAGCAGAGATAATATAGCCTCCACCAGGCATCGCGGATCGCTAAAAAAATTGTAGAAATTGACCAAAATGAAGGAAATAGTATACCAGGGGTGTTAGCCGACAGGAGAGGGTCCAATATGCAGCGCACGGGTAGTGGACCCTCTTTGGCCGGGTAACACCAAGGGTACAATATTCCCTTTATTTTGGCCAATTTCTAAAGTTTTTCCAGCGATCCGCGGTGCCTGGTAGAGGATACAGCTAATATTCAATGGTTGTACCTTCCAATGATGACGCCTGCTACTATGGCCGCTACAGCAACCACACCAACGATACCTCCCACCACCGGGCCAGCAACACTGGTAACAGGTTCCGGACCACCACCACCAGATTCTATTACAATCAGTATAAACGTTTGAATAAAATGATTTTACAAAATAAAATGCTAATGATTAACTGTTGGAAATTGTAACGATTAAGCAAATAAACCATATGAAAACCATATACGTTATACAGTATTCACGCTGCTGACTATTTGAGAAAATCCATAACGTTAGCAATTTTGTTTCCATGTTTTAGCTAGGAACATGTTTACCTACCTGTCTGCTGTGGTTCTATGAATTCACTGGAGGTGAACGTCTAAGAAAAAGCAAAAGAACAGGTATAATTATCAATATTTTCTATCTCACTTTCAATTCTATTACCAGTCTTTTCGGAATTCCAATCTATCCATGTATAATCCAATCTATCTATCTATGTATAAGCAAAACGTTCATTTTCCTTACGTACAAGCCAGTCAAAGCACCAACCGACAATTTGCCAGGTAAGGCATATTATTAGGGGCTATCTTAGTGACTAACTTACATCCGATCCCGCAGATGCTGCCTGTCTCTTCCGTCTTCCGTTTGAACACACACTGAATGCCCGGACTGTCACTGTGTACATGGTGTTTGGCCTCAGGGCCTTGTTGTACACATTGCCGTCTGGGTGACCTGTTGGCCCGATGTTGCAGCAGTCATTTTCACAACGTTGTTCGTTACCTACTGTTATCGAGCTGCTAAACTCTTCACTGAAAAGACAAAGGAAACAGTTTGAAATTCAACTTTAATTGAAATCCAAACATCGTGGTGATCAATTTAGGATATTCTAACTACATGCAAGTATAGATCTTAAAGTCCAGGGCTTTTTAAATTTAAAGCTCCCGCTGGAAAGTTAGTGGCGTCTTAGTCAGGCTGGTGACTATACTCTGAATCGACTTGCCTTCTAAGGCATATAGCTTCAATGCGTTAAAATAACATCACTGTACCTTGAGAATGCATCTGCTACATAAGGTAAATCACGACGTCCAGCGGCTATGTCGGTAGTTTCACTGGTCAGTACTGTGTTCTCTCTGAGACCAATGGACCTGAGCGTGTCAAGGGTCTCTTCTGATGTCATGGGTACCACGATGATCTGGTAGCAACTGAGGTTAATAAATGTATGAAAATGAATGCAGAATCTTTTATTACACGGAAAAGTTAGTTCAAACACTATTTTAATATTTGTGGAAATGTTGTAAGCAATATTAAGCCTTGCTGCGAATCTGTAGGTTATTTTACATTAAAATGTTATGGAGAAACTTCTATGGAATTTTTCCGGATCTGTGATATGCTACTCCTTTTTTCCTGTGTAGCAAAACCATTGCCTTTTTTTTGCTAGCAACTGACATGGTTATAATCCCTATGAGAGTTTATGTGGACTAGGGGGTCAATAGAACTTTCAGAGTGCTGTAAGAATACATTGAGTATATCTATATTAGTTGTTGGTATTTTCATATCCATGGTACATCCCCCCTCCCCCATTCCAAATTAAATGTGGATCTTACCAGATTGGGCCATTCTCCGACGACGCCCGCTGAATGTCCATTTTGAAAGATGACGATGTGATTTCATCTTGCGGAACTTCAGGAATCATAAGAGGAGGGGGCGGAGCTGTGAACAGCAAACGTATGACACAAACATCAGGTAATACCTGTCTATTAGCTCGAGTAATTAATGTAATATTAAGTTTTAACAAATCAGTTGCACATTTGATGTTTTTAAGGATGACTGAATATATATATATATATATATATATATATATATATATATATATATATATATATATATATATATATATATATATATATATATATATATATATATATATATAGTA